AATTCATATAACGCATAAAAAAAAATCGCACAAAAAAAATCGCACAAAAATAAAATCGCACAAAACAAATCGCATAAAAATAAAATCGCATAAAAAAGGACCGCACAAAAACAGGTTTTACTGTACTTCAAATATTGTATATATACTATGTATTAATAATTGTATAATATTTAATATTATATAAACAATTGCATGTAATAAAAGAAATATAATAGGACTTTTAAGAAATAATAACAAACAATTAAAAATATTTTTTGAATAGGAATCTTCAAATGATACCTGCAAATTGATTAAAAACTACTGCACACATTCCAGATGACAGTACATTATTGATAGTTGGTAAATGTTGCTACACTGTTGCGATTTCTATGAAAAAGACCGAAGAGTACACTTAAATTAAAGACTAACATAATTCATTGTGGATAGGCTTATGTAATGTAAGATAATTAGTAGATATGTAATTCATGTTTTATGATATATCAGATATGTAAAAAAAATCAAATTAAAATCTCCCGTGGTACCATCTACGGTACACCACTCAAACTACTAGGCAAAAAGTGCATACTGTTTAACAGTAGATGGTACACACAATTCCTTCATGTATATAGTAACAGCTTATTTATTACAGCCTTTGGGGCTGTAAAAGAACGAAAAATAGTTGGCGCCGAATATTAGTGTTTCTTAACAATTTATATCTTCAAAAATTGCTCCCAATTTGCTCCCTCGGAATCTAAAATTGCTCTAGAATGGTATTACTAATAATAATAAACGCGGCGTACAAGAAGACCCTAGCCTAGCTAAGAAACACAACAGATCAATGTTACTACTCAGGGATGTGATTGCACATCCGCGTTCACTCGCCAAAAGCACGTATACAACCAGTCGTCCCTGCCGCTTCAAACGAATCATTCTACAGCATGACTGGATATGAGAGGAATAAAAAAGCATGCGACTCACCGGATGATAGAAGGACTCCGTGTAAGAGATGCATCTTGTGTTTCCGAGAAGATTCTGAAAAAGAAGGAACAAAATACGTTACAATCTCTTCTCACAGCTTTATCTATTTCAACTGCATAATCTAAGTAATAACATATACAGATACTTACATCCTTGAAGTTGGAGCTTAGCCCGAGGACATCTTCTTGAGTGTTCAGTGATGAAATATGTGATAAAAGTGAGCTTTGCCCGAGGCACATTCTTTAGTGTTTAGTGATAAAGTATGTGATTAATCTAAAAAAAGAGAACAAAATTTGTTGTTATCTTTTCTCGAAATTCTAACTGCTTCAATTGAATGGTGTAAGTAAAAAATATAAAGGTACTTACTATCTCTATTGGTAGATCTTCGTCCAAAAACATCCTCTTCAATGATGCACTGAATCTACTATCGCGACTGAACATTTTTAAATGCAAGAAAAATAAAAGAGTAATAATCAAGACCGCAGACTCCAGCCGGCGAACAAACAACTCTACTTTCGCAACTCAAAAAGCAGAGTGTCCCGACACTCTGAAAGTAATTGATAATACGCAATAAACACTGACTCTACTTTCGCGAGAACCTAGCATCTCCGATGAGATTCTACTTAGAACCAGTTCGCTCCTAATAAACAAATAACTTTCTACCATGTCAACACTGACTTTACTCGACCGCATTGCGCACGGCCACTAAATTCTCTGAAAGAAAGGTAAGACAAAGTGTTTAAGGAAAAAATATTGCCTTTGGATGGTAAATATGAGGTTAAATATGAAAATATGAGTTTAACTACCCAAAAGTATAATACTTAACAAATAATTCAGAAGAATTCTTAAATTTTTTTATATATATTTATTATTCCTATATACTTGTTATTAATCTATTATATTAGACATTCGTTGTTATAATTATAAGCATGCTCGTTCTTGCTGTCTAAACGACGTCCCGAATTTTGTAAATATATTCAGAAAATCATTGCAAATAATAAAGTTTCTTTATTTACTCAAGCTTTGATCACGAGTAACTACGCAGCTTCTATATGTATAATTCGACTTACAAACGTAATTGTAAAAAAATACAATGACTTCATAAGAATAGACACGTAAAATTATTAATATGAAAACAATTTCGTGACCGGAATGCAGTAAATTACGAGTACATATTTCTAATCTGAATGTCTGGAAGTATTGTCGTTTAAATTTTCTAAAGGTCAAGGAAGCCATATTGAATGCTTCAATTATGCATTTAAATTTAAAGTATGTTTCGAAAGAATTCTCGTTTGTCTTTCACGAAATCGCGATTATGCTGGCGATCAAAAACAGTCAAAATACGATAAAATAAAAATATGTAGTGGAATGTCATCTATTTGTTGTAATAACTTACCAGACTTCACCAATTTCCCGCCAAATTGTGTCTGAACGGAGAGTAAACGATCATGGCGTCGGTGGCGCGTTTTTTCCAGCCGGAATACTGAAACAGAAAATAACCGTTAATACCGAGTGATTATACTAAATTAACAATGGATGATTCACAACGAAACAATTATTGACTCGAAGAGTGTCGCCAAAGGTTGCAAATTCAACAAAAACTGCGTAAATACTAATTGGTATCGGGGGAAGAACGTAAGTGTAAAGGTTCACTTTAACCCGCAATACCGAATTAATTTACGATCATTCACACTGAATTGAATAAATATTAAACGAAAGTAGCGATAGAGAGCTAACGAAAGTACTAATAGTGTAAATAATTAGAAGTGGAAGGTAATAATACGTACTTCGACATGAGCAAGATCATTTTATGTCTAATCACTCCAGCTTCCCCGAGACAACTGACCCTCAGGCCCTTAGGTTGTCTACGATTGGTTACAATCGGTTGATTCGGTTATCTTACGAGGTACGTGATTGGTTAATCCGTAGGTTAAGATAGGTCCTCCTCTCCCCACTGCACTTTCTATTTCAACGAAATAAAATATTCACCACTGTATTATATTACAATATACTTTTCTTATATGTACCAACCCGAGATTAACTCAGCGAGGAATGACCCTCATGAAACGGTAAAATATAGGCACAAAGACGATTTCGCGAAAATTTAGTTTTGTAGTAGTCCTTTGGTTATAAACAATCTCATAGCCACATGTTTGGTTCACATGTTTGACCAATTTTCAAAAACTTGTATTCCAATTTACTCTACGATTAATAAAGGAATTCGAACTGCATAAATACCCTGGCCAATCCTCGAAAATTTATTACTCCAATTTGTTGTGTATGGAGAACATTAATTTTGCTGCCGTCCTCTCGAAGTTTTGAAATCTACGTTCTGCGTTGCTTCCCAAACGCCATCTACGATAAATACTTCCCATCAACTTGACAATAGCGCCAAAGTTTATGAAATACAATCTATATAAAAGATATTATCATTGCTATTACCACCGACTAGGTATAGAATAGACCTATCATCCCATGCTTTTTTCTGTCCCATGTTCATAGGGCTACGTAGCCCTGTTACCATTTTAGTGTCAATATCCGACGTTACCGATAAAGCATGAATTCTGAGTATTATTAGCACAAATGAAGTGTTATATATTCCATTCATAATACGTGTATCTATATGATTTCACGAGAATAAAAATATCCGATGCTTTAGTTTAAGGTTAAGGGATAAATATGACAGTCATGAAACATGAAACATAAAACGGAAAAGTATATATTTTTTCACTTAACAACAAGACAATTTATTCTAAATGCATCGTTAATGGACATTTTTATTAATGTTACTTTTTACATGTTCTTGTTTTATTCGTTTTTATATCTTGCCTTACATTTGTATATTTGTAACAGATAAATTCAGAATAGATGTAGTTTCAAAAATAGTTTATCAAATCTACATGTGGGAGAATATATACACCGCTTTCATTAACATCTACATATTTATAATTTATATGGGAGTGTGAATAGTTTTACTGCCTATTGTAAGAATTTTAATACGCACGAACAATTACTTTCTGGTAATTGGTAAATTTTTACATATGAATTTACTTACACGTTATTTACTTCAAAAAATTTTATTTATTGCGAGTAATTAAATAATGAACGTATGTTAATATCCAGCTACGTGTCTCTCAAATTAAGTGAAATACAGAAGTTTTATTTTCTTGAAAATTAGTGTCAAAGAATGCAGCAACTGGTCAGATTAGTTTCGTAATGTAATATATAATGCTTCATTTATGCTATGTGATAATGCTCAGAATTCATGCTTCATCGCTAACGTCGGGTATTGACACTAAAAAAATTTCAAATGTTAGTACCGTCATCAAATTTTTAATATTCTTTGCTTTTGCAAGTAATTATAGTAGCACAATCACACAAATTCTTAAAAATGCTCTTGGAAGAATAAGATTTCTGTGATCGAAATTTGTCAAAGCTTGCCCTTGAAAGCGAAAGGGTAAAACGTCAATGGTCGTACTCGCGTGTAAAGTGTAAAGAATATTTTCAAAAAAGCCACAGATTTTTTTATTGTTATAAAATAAAAGGTACTATGAAACGCACTCAAAAGTCTCTGAAGTAGCATCTTTAAGAAACAAATCATTAAGTCATATTTTATAAATACTGATGGTGCCGATAATGTTTGTAACCTAACAGTGTTCAGTAACAAGAAGCATATTTAATTATCATATATTTACAATAGAAGTTACAACTTATTGTGAGCATTTTTTAATTATTTGAAAACCATGAATGGAAGTCCAATTCTGAAGCGGCCTAAGCCAACTGACAGCGAAGAGGAATTATTCCGCATGCAAGAAGAATTTTTGAAAAATAAACAACAACCATCTGCAAAAGTAATTAACTTACGTAGTTCAAGTAAACCTATTAGCGATGCTGCTTCTACTGAACCACTCAAGAAAGAATCGAGTACTCGCAAAGTAAGGTCAAGATTTTCTGAGCTAAAGAAACTTAAAAGTCATGACAGGGTTTCTACTTCACAAACTGGTGGTGACGTTATAAATCCTGTAGTTAAAGAAAGAATTCAGAGCAATTTAAGTGTAGGACCACAAGAGGCTGTTCAAAATGTACCAATAGCACCATCTAATATAATATTAGGTAATATCATTGAAAAAAAATTTGATTCGTGCAAGGGTAATTTTAATGGAAGCAAGTCTTTATGTGGCTCAGACAGAGGTTTCCCACAAGTTTTTGTTTCTACATGTATGGTATGTTACATGCATCATTTTATTAGTAAAAAAGAATTAGAAAGAAAGAAAGATTAACAAGCAGGTATTTTAATACTTAATATTTTTCAGAAAAGTGATGGTAATCAGAGTTTATTTTCGCAACAAGTTTCCCCACAAGATCAATCAGCCATTAAAGTAGAAGACTCTTATGGTAGCAAATCTTTATCGGCTAATGAAAGCAGTTTTATAGTAGAAGGATCATGGGCAACTGAAATACATAAGGAAAATGTAGAGCGATTAAGTCAAATGACTCAAGAAGATATATTGACAGAAAAAAGTAAACTTGAGACGATTCTCAAACCAGAGTTAATTCAATTTTTAAAAAATAAGAGAAATAAACAGCAGAAAAGAAAGAAGAATCAAGAAGAAATTGAGGAATCTAATGATCCTCATAGAAAACAAAACGTAACTTACATGGATGAAGAAAAATTGATTACAAAAGACATTTCCATTAAAGACAATGAAGGTGCTTCTAAAGATAATGATGTGACACAGATGGAAGTTGACAAACCCGAAGAGATATCTAATGAGAATAGTCAAGGTTCGTCTAAAAATAATGCTGCCACACCAATGCAAATAGATGAACCTGAGAGTATACCAAAACCTCTTAAAGAGTTAATGGAACGAGCTAAAGAGAAGGGTTGGGTACATATGGACTCCCTCGAACTTGAAAAATTAAAATGGATGGAAGACGTACCAGCACAAGAACAACAAGAACCTACTCCAGATGAACCATATAATGCCCGCTTTAATTTCAACGGTATATCCTCTTGAATTAATTTAATTAAAAATATGTGTTACGAATATAACATATATCCACTTTTGAATATTTTGTAACAGGTTTATTGTTGCCATATAAGGATGAAAGTGTACCGGTTGATCAAGGTCTCCATCATCATGGTGAAGAACCTGAACGTCCTGGCTATTCCTTACAAGAATTGCTACAATTAAGCAGATCGGCGACGCAACAGCAACGGTGTATTGCTCTCACGACATTAGCGAATATTATGGAAAAAAGTCGTAATGGCTGGTACGACAAAGCATTACAACCAGCACCTTTGACAGCGCTAAGTCAAAAGAATCTCGTATTACTACTGAGATTTTCCTTGGACGACACGTCGATCGCTGTGGTTACAGCAACTTTGCAAACACTTAGAGCATTGTTATTCAGTGAAGCAGACGAAGTTTGTTTGGATAGACTGTATGGTTTCGAAAATTACAATGAACCTGTTTTAAAGACACCGAAAACGGATGTTCCTGATACAAGCAGCTTGAAAGACCATGAGTTGGCACAGTTTGATACAATAGCTGCTTTGTTAAGAACTGATATACTTTTAAGAATTAGGTATACTTCATAATTTTATCTTCATTGATAAGTAAGTGTGTGTGTATTATAAAAAGTTTAACTAATAACGTAAAATTATTTGCAGGTATATTTTAAGTGAAATGCGGCCATCGCCTGTTGGTGTAACATGCGCATTAGAAATATTAGCCAGACTTGTAAGGCATTCACCTATAACTGCATTGAATGTTGCAAACACTCCGACTTTATTAGAGATAATAATTAAATTTTTTGTGCCACTATCTGCAGATCCTTTAGGTTGATATTTGTTTTACTTTTTAAAACATTTCATGTTTGAATAGATTGACAATAACATGGTACATTTTTCTTTTTTGCAGCAACGGTCGATACTATAAATAATGTATATGGAGTTCCTGTTACCGCTGCTGTTAGATTTTGTCGCGTTTTACTCTGCTATGGAGAAAAACCCATTGCTCAAAAGTTAAACAGACTTAAAATAGTAGAACGCATTATATCATATCTCAATTACACTACAGGGTAATTGTGAAATTTATTTTTAGTTTTATTTCGATAGTACAATTCATTATATGTAACAAACGTAAAAGATGATATTTATTTTGTTAGACAAGGAAGCATTAATCTCGGCATTGAGAGTCTACGATTATGGAAACTATTACTACTACAAGGAGAGGCAATGGACAGCTTGACTGGAGCACAGTTAATTCTTGTGACTCAGTTGCAACTTTTGTTAAGCAATCATGATATTCGTAATGCATCCGAGCTATCTTGTGAATATGCAGCAGCTTTAATAGCTGTTGCTAGTTGCTTGACACCTTTAAAAGCAAATATATCAGTTTTATTAGCAAAATGGAATATGCAATTACAATCCTTAACAAACGTTACAGTAGGTTCAGATTTGATTTATTACGTTTTATATATGTGTCATGAATGTCATAAAAGTCAAATGCCTACAAAACTTGTATACTTTTGTAGTGGGGTAATACAAAACTTATCGCGGAAACATTACTGGCAGTTAGTGATACGTCTGCAGTTAAAATGTTGTGTATATCCCGATCACAGGTGTTCTCTAAACTAGGGTAAGTGTCTTAATTTCTTATTATATTATGTTTTTTCTTAGGGAAAGTATGAAACTATAAAACAGCATATAAAATTTTTGCAGTTCTACTTCAAATTTGTTGAGTGATTACAGTCCAGCTACAGAACGTGAGCCTTCTTGTCTTCCTCACCTTGGTGTATTAACTCAATATGGACAATTGCAGCCTACAGTGTCTCAGTCCTCGTGCGTATCTTTTCTTGCAACTGTTTTAAAGGTCTTTGTTAATCATTCTTTCGTAGAAGAAATTCAGGCAGTGCTCAATCTTCCACAAGTTCGTAAATATTTAAAAAAATTAGAAACAAGTGACTGGTGTTTAGAAAGATCATGGTACACGAGATCCGAATTATCGTTCTTGACTGCAATAGTCAATGCAGCCTCCATTACTAGAAACAGACTGGACAATGAAATAATGCATATTATTTGGAAAATTGCTGTTAAACTAGTATCAGCCTTACCAGCTGATCTCCCATCTGATGTAAAGAATATGTTAAGAAGTGCTTTATCGGAGGACAAATTAAGGTTAGGGGTAATAGCGAATGAATTGGACAAATTAAACTTGAATTCAAACGTAGAAGATATTAAATTAAATCTAACTCGCAACGTAGCAGCTACATATGAGCAGTATGTACCATTGAATGGAGAATGGAGTCAAGCTGCAATGCCTAAAGATTGGCTCTATTTACCAACAGTACACATTTATACAAAGTGTAGAAATATTAGTAAATATAACGATGAGAACAAATTTACTATCCTAACTGTACTGAGTTTAGAGTTGATATTACCCGACTTAGTTGAGAAACTGTCACAAAGCTTGAGGTTTAGCAGATTGGTTTTAGTATATCTATGTGATACAGTGTATTTAAATAACGACGTTTCTGCTTTGCTTACCAGAGCCATTTCAAATTTATTAAAAAGTCATTATAAGAAACTTGATTTTACAGTAGAGTTGCCAGGATTGAATTCGTTTACTGATCTATTTACCGCTATGTGCGAACACTTTTGTTCGACTTCTTACGGTGACTATGGTTACTCAATGACTTTATTGGTCCCAATTGCGCAAAGACACGATGTTCATTATAGAAAATTATTATGGTCGGAGCACGCAGGTGCACTTCGGTACATTAAATTACCCATAGAACAATTAATTATTCCGCTAAAAGAATATTTGCATCCTCTTGAGGAAGATACATCCCTAATAGAAAGTTACATAACGGCTCTTGTCAGAGGAATTGTCAACCGAAATTGGTGCCCAATTCCTTATGCAATTGCTATGCATCATTCTGCGATGTATTTGAAACAGACAAATAAATTAGCAGTAAGAATGAGAACACAGCTAACAAAAATACCTAATAAAGCTTTGGCTGCTCTTCTATTAAATTATGAATCACCTGCATTATAAATATAAATACTTACCACCTATTCGAAAAGTCTTGAAAAAATTGTAAATTAATTTAAACAACATAGATGCAAACTACTTTGTATCCATATTGGAAGAATTATTATAACGTAATAATGTAAGGATTACTGTAAGTATTTGTTTGTATGATATAAATTGAAGTGTGATCTGTTACATAAATAATAATTTTATATTTTTGACATCTGAGCATTGAATACATGTTATATTTCAGAATATTAAAGGATATGCGTAAAGGGTAAAAGAACTCATTTTAATCAGACATAATGTATACATATACCAGTATTATTAGAAAATCAATTGATTACATAATTAAAGAATAGGAACAATCTGTGCTTACAATTACGCAAAGCATAGAGGCACTGCTTGGTCGTTCTCGCTGATTGCCAGAGCTTTTAATAAGAGAGTGCTACAATCTAAAAAGTATAATATATATTGGAAATTTGTTTGTTTATTAATAATTTAGTAATCTATGTTACACGTTATTGTATGTGGCTTATAAATATTGTCCATATTTATATTACCATTACATACATAACATACTCAATCTGTTAACATAAACATAAAAAAAACAATCATAATTATATTTATAATAAAATACTTTTATAGTAATTGAGAAGTGAAGATTTATACAGCTTTTTTATAAATTTATTCTGTCACAGTGCCAGAAATTCGAAGTAATACTTATCAGTTCCATTTTAAAGTAGAACTACAAAAAACGCAGACTTATATAATTATAAAGGGATATGCATATTAATAACAGAATTACATAAGTAATTGTTAACTGTTGTAATTTCAAGAAATTACATACAATGAAATTATTGTTTGAAAACGAGTATTCAAAGTACATATGCAACCATGTGAAGGGTAGAATAATTTTTAGTAGAAGTAAATAGAATGCGTTCGATTTTCTTATTCGCGTATAAATGTGTCGTAGAATTTATGGAACGCAATAAGTACGAGTCTAATAACAGCGACTGTAATTATGCGGTAACGTAATTCCATGTGCCCTCTTATGGCGCAACAGTAACCATTACGTGATATTTCATTGCAAGTTTCGTGTCCAAGCATATTAAATTGTACAAAACTTTTTGTGATGAAGTATAATTGAAAAGTAAAGAAAGAAACTGTTGTTAAACAACTTCCGTGAATAACTGATCCTTACAAAAGTAAAAAGTAAATCATGTCTCGTGTACAAAAGGACTTACAATTATCTTCAATAGTAGATTTTTTCTTTTTTGATCTTAACTTTTGTAAATATCTAAATTAACTTGTCAAACAATGAATTTATATTTGAGCGCTCCTCATCTACTATATGACTTCTTTTTATGAATATACAGGGTGTCATGTAATTGGTGGTACATCAGTGTAAGTAGAAACGGAATGCAATGGACAGACGTGCTCGCCAAGTCAAATTCGATTATTTCGAAAACGAAGTCCCAGATGAAGAAATTTTATTGTATATTTTCGACTTATCTTTTCACGTAGAATCACCCCCTACCCGGTTGCATCTCCAGTTAATCACAAACTATATACTGTTTAAATTTTTGTGACATATTATCTGATTTACTTATTTCTTCTCAGCTAACGTCTGCAATGATTATGTCTCATATGTGGTACATCATTTGAATGTGAGTACCCAAATTCAAATTATCTTGTTTCTTCGTAATATTTTAAACTTATCCTTAGGTCGTACGCTATTCGTCGTTGGCAAATATAACGCATACATTATTGGTCTTCCAGAGCAGAATGCGTCTGATCCGTTGAGTGTGCTGAGTATAGAAATATTAAAATTCGCGTGAATGCGTGATTGTATTTATGTATGTGGTACCAAAGTCATTTTAAAGCGATGCTATCACCTTCGGACTTATTCATACCTTGCATTAAAAATACAATTTTCCAAGAACCTAACGCTGCACTACGAAGATATTAGGTAAGAGTATATCGAATCGTCGTAATGGAAATTTTTAAACGACTACAAAATTTGTTGGAAATTTTTTTTGTGAAAACTATTTCGAACTAAGTATTGCCTGATTGAAGAATATTATAGAATTTTTTTATATTAATTCGCCGCTATATTCATGAAGTTGGTGGTGCAAGTGTTATCGACAATTTACAGATATCATTACAATCTTTAGCTTAAAGAGTGTTCCGATATTATTTGTTACAGTAAACCGTCTCTATGTTTACAATAATAACATTATTATGTACATTGATATTTCTGGTATATGTATTAGTCTGTATAAATGCATTCTCCGAGATAGAAAAATAGGAGGGGTGAAATTGTGGCTCGATTAACAATAAGTTAACTAAAACGGGTCCACCGTTCGATGTCAGATACATATTTATATGTATAGCCGTTAACAGATTTCAAAAAGAATTATTTATACGGGCTATCCTACAACAAGCGCCGCTTGAAACTGGGCTTAAATTGTTGACTTTATGAAGAAACTTCGAAGGAAAAATTTGTATTTTAGAAAGCATGAAAAATTTTACGATAACAGAGATATTTTTATTATTCTATTTTCAATCAATTTGATTTCTTTGCCGGGGCTTCGATAAATGAACAAAAGCAAATTCAACGGTGTCATCTAATACAATACCACAATAAACGATGGCAAAATAGTACCACAGGAAACTTTTGTAGAGAAAAGTCCTTTTATGCATAGTTTGAGCTCTCCCGTTTTGTTTTCTTTCTTTTGTTCCGTTTGCACAAATCGAAAACAATTTTCAATCTATTCTTGTGAAGTTAACATTGTTTATAAGATGACCTAAAATGACAGTGCATACACTAAAAATCGTTTCAAGCTGCTATAAAACACAACGTACAACTCCGATCACCGTAAGTAGGGCCAGCCGTTTCGTTCCAATTATACGTAAAGAATTGTATTTGTATTAAAACTTCTTGTGTTATAATTTGGCATCGTTAAATATAGGTTTTTTCATCTAACAGGGTAATAACACCATATCCTTTATCTCAACATCTTCTATAATATGTGCGGTATAAATATTCTCTTCCAATTTTTTCATAAAGTCAGTAGTTGACGCGTTATTTGCAACAACGCCTATCACGGGATAGCCTGTAAAGTAATACCTTGTTTCCAGGTATTACTCCTCCAACCACCAGAATATCTCCCCCCTTTTCCAACCGGTCAGCGTGCTCGATCTCGATCGGTAACAATCGTCAGTTTCACGCGCGTTGGCCGATCACGAACGAGAAAAACAACGGCCGCCCTTACAAGATAAACTAAATCTTTTCGCCACTCCCCCTAGGTGATGGCTTTCATGACGTTCGCGCCGACCGATTGCTAGGATTCTATGCCTAGCTTCCGATATGTTTCACGGTCGACCGTGACCAAACGGCCCTCCACACTCGAACAGTCGAGCTCGATGCAGTGCAGTCGTGCGCCCCATTCGCAATGGCTCTGGTCGTCTTGTCGGTAATACTTGATCTGCAGGCAGGTGGTCAGAAAACCTGAGCCGAATACCCGCATGGCGATCGGCAGCTCCTCGCGGTGGCCACGTGCGCTCGCCGGTATGTCCTTCGTGTTGTGGTAAGCGCTGTACGCGCAGGCCGTGCCGTCGCGCGCGCGCTCGATCGTTTCCACTTGCTTGCCGCCGATTGTCAGGGACCTACGGAATAGAACGAATCTCGTTTTAGAATCAATGTTTTTGTACATACAAGACTGTTATGGTGGAATAACATTTCGGATTTTGTTGAAACTTGGATATTAACTTCGATTAATTTTCATGTGACGAATTTTGAAGTGCTCTTACTTTTAAATATTTGTCCATAAAGAGGACAAATAGGACCACAGACTCCTCTCGATTATAGTCCCGAACTCGGGTCCGCGCCGGGACAATAATCTTATAGGCAGAAATGCTGATATATAAATATGTAACTATTATTTTACCAAAAAGAATGTAATGCATAGAAGAATTTTGAAAAGTAAAGGAAATATACATTTATATCGTAGAAAGAAAACGGGAAATATTACTAATAAGTAAATATACATTTTTATGGGATAAATTACAAGAACTGGAGTCAAGGAGAATTTGCGTCATGACACCTTTATCCATTCGTCTTTCCAATAAATTGTAAAGTGACACGACACATCATAGGTTACTTATGAATCAACCTAATGTTTCGTTTCGAAAGAAAGTAATAAAGGAATGAAATCACGTTTCCTGTTTAAAAGAACATGTCTCCTCTAGGCACAAAATTTGAAAGTTCACGTAAAGGTTAATCGAATCGGTTCGGTCTTTAGTCACGATTGTAGGCAGGCGTCGAAACAGGTCCGATTTGATCGTAAATCGATAACGGGTTTTCGCGTCGCCGGTCGACGATACGGAACTGTGCCTCGGAATTCATTTGCATCTTCAGACCGGACCACTATTCAAGATTCTGAACCTCGTTTCCGGCCGCGTCGACTATGCAGCCCACCTGGCACGTATCATCCCCCTCCCCCCAGTCCTCTGCTAAATGATCGGAATAATTTGACAGACTGTAAATTGTCGGAACATTCGTGGAAGACAATTTGAAAGATTAATGCTTGATCTTTTGAAAAATTAAACGTCGATATTATTTTCATCGAATAATTTCAATTGAAAGTCGAATTGACACTTTGACTGCCAATAGAATTATGATTCCTTCTTTGATTGTTAAATTGTAAAGATTCAAATAATCATGGAGTCGTAATTCGTAAGATTTGTAGTCAGAGAAAGTGATTATTTGTATCGTATAATAATAACGATATACGAACAGTATGGAAATTAAAGAAATTAACTTATCAAGCGATAAAAATTTCTTCTAACATATTTATAAGAGATGTGAAACTATTGCTACCATTTTTATAAACTTCTAAATTGCACTCGATATGTATCTCTTAAATTTTCATTTTACTTGATAGGTATAATCAACGGTACGAAAATTTCATGCAAATCGTTCTAAAAATATTCATTTCCCCTTGAATGCTGACTTTCTTCGTTGAAATTTATTTCTACTTGCGTACCGCGAGTTAATTTCCATCCTTCCGAGATATAATGCTATTCTATAAATATATAAACGGTATAAAATGTCTGTTTAATGTTAATAAATTCTGCACAGTAACCGTGATATAGAGCTGGCTTGGCTCGAAGCCTGTGTATTTTTAGTGTTTTACCGTGCGAAGTAAGTGAATGGCCAGTGAACCCTACGCGTATCAATGTCGAGCATCATTCACGTGTTCGAAATGAGTTCTCGTGACGCAAATGCACTGTATAATTATTCGGCGAGGTACTACCGATCCCCAGTTGCAGATTCCGCGTTGTTAACAACCGTTAGCCCCTTTAATTATCGAAAGTCATTTTCGCGAAACTATAAAGATTATATCGCTGGAGTCATAGAATAGATGAAATTTTAAGTCTGAACGAATTATTCTCTGAAATACAAGGTGTCATGTAATTGATGATAGAATCGATTAGGGGATGAGTATACGTGAACAAAATAAGTCGAAAATATAAAATAACATTTTTTTAATAAAAGAGATGTTTAAATAATAATATGTTGCAAACTGAGACGATTTTTGGATTAAATAACACATAAAATGATTAAATGAAGTTACGATATAATCTTAAGGTGGCAATAATTGGGACATCTACCCTATTTTCGACGATTTGTCTTTAAAAAAATGAAATACAGTGCGTCTGACTACATACGGCCTTTTTTACTGTGGCAGTCAACGTGTTAAAAATTAATCTGAAACGCGTGTATGCGTCCTGGTATTAAGGAGAAACTGAATACAATGAACAGACGTGCTAGCGAAGTCCAAATCAATTGCACGCGTATGCAGCAGATTTGTAAAGTCCTCTAAAACGAAGTCTCGAATGAAAAAATGTTATTCTATTTCGACTTACTTCTTCACTTAGAATTATCCCCTACTCGATTGTACCATCAGTTTCATGACACGCTGTATACATATACACCGTACTGCAGTGGATCTTGAGGAACTAAACTATCTGAAAGAAGATTTATACATAGTCGGTTCGGTACGCTGTTCAATAATGCACGGGGCTCATTAAGTGAAATTGCGGCGGTCGCTCCTCGCAATTCTGAAAGACAGATACGAATGGAAGGCGACAGAATGACATCTTAATCAGGAATTGCATTTTACTTTTAAATCGACAGAGGCGCGTTTATTACTTCATTTGAATTTCGTTCCAATTAAGAACTACCGAATACCCGCCTCCCTGCCAACTTATTGAACTCGTTTAAAGTGATGAATAATCGATAAATATTGTCCTTGAAAAAATATTTTCGTATTCACTCCCCGACTTCTTTCGTAGGTTCAATATTTAGAGCGCCAATTCACGTATGCTCACCGAAACCCTTCGACTTCGTATTCACCGAATCTCCTCTAAAGTATAATAATATTATCGTGCATCTGAAAAATACCGATTCTTGAATTCCTTAGAAGCTGAACGGACCGTAGCGACAGATAGAAGTAAATTTATTACCTTAGCTGGCTCTTCTCATACATTTGTCTGCACCAGATGCTTTCTCTCCACGGGGAATATAAAATTGCGAAGCGACGCGAGGGGATAGTTCTTCGAAAATCCGATAATAAAGCAGCCTTTTTAACCCTTTAACTCGCCAAACCTTTAAATCGTGATTTCAAAATTATGATACTGATATTGTATCTTGTTATATTGAAGTCGAAAGTATCGATATTACACAGACCTATTTTTTTATTTTTCGTGTTTCTTTTATTCATTTTTGGAATAACTACTCGCATTTTCCAACCGAAAACGCTGATGTTACGGATCTTTACTGGACGTTAAGAAACGAAAGGGTAAAATATAATAATGACTGGATATAGGTAACGAAAAGGTGAAAAATAATGACTGGACTGTAAATTTTTTACTCATAGCCCAATAATTTTGTAAGTAATTTGTAAAGCCACAATCACAAACGAAAATTTCTTTCTTCTCATGAAACTTTTATCGGTTTAAGTAGAAAGTTTTTAAGTAGAAAATTGATTAAATCAATTAGAAGTATTTTTTATTCTACTTTACAATGACGTGTGCTATGCGTGCATAAAATTTGCAGTCCATAAATTATTTAGTATTGTTCAATCGATACTTTTATTTCCGATGAGGGAATATTCTCAAATGCTCCACTCGAAAGTAGTCCTCTATCGCTTCGGGTCAGTTTTATCGCGAACGTTTGACGTATTCCCCACATGTAAGTGCCGTGTTGTAGCCAGCCGCGTTTAGGCGTGCATTTTTAAAAAACCGTAAAACGGTGATCCGTTGACGCGTCGTAAAGCCGAACGGCGAAACGGAACGGCTCGGGTCAACGCGGACATTTTCAGGATCAATAGAAAACGAAAAAGCTCCGTTTTTAACCGCGAAAGAGTACGGTAAGGTCATGCCGCCAGCGATGAAACCGTGAAATCGAGATCTGCATTCAACTTGTGCTATGCTCTAGAATCTAGCTTGTATTCACTTTAAAATATTGCCGCCAAATGAAATGAGACTCTCGTTTTCGAGTCTCCAGTATTCAAATTCAGTATCAAATTCACCCTTTTGTAAATCGAACTCACCCTTTTGCAGATCAAAGACAACATTTTGCAATTTTAAAACATTGATAGAACCTGCATGATACTGACCACTTAATACCATTCAAATTACTTATAAAATATTTTTTGTATTTTCATAATTAAAAAAGATATTCGTGGGGTTACACTCGAATGAAACCAGCTGTATATAAATTCAATTCTGATTGAAAACGTGATCGCGATTTTGATCCCTGTGTCTAAGAAATCGATGTCAATCCGCGTCGTAAAGTGTTCACGACGCGAAGAGTTCGACCGTTTCTTCGTCGTACGACAAAGTACCAACGTAGAAACGGCGGTTTTCAGGGCGATGCTTTCGTATCTTGATACCGATCAATCGCAATCGCGGAATCGTTCCAACGGAACAGGCGAACGGATATACACGGAGCGATAGAAAGAGTTGAAAAGAAGTTCACCGGAGTAGTTACGAGTAATACCTGAAGGCGTACACGCTGAGCGATCGATAACGTTCTCATCGTTGTTCGTGAAAAATGTAACGAATCCCCGGGTCATGACTCATGAATATCGTAACATCACCCACGGGGCTCTTGTTTCTCGTTATCTTTCGATCTAACGAGAAACAACGATCCTGATCTCATCGATCGTTTTCTATTCGAGATTTCTTTCATTTGAAAGAAAGTGGAGAGGCCGCGTCGAGCTTTTATGAAGAATGATCTCTTCCGTTAAGGTAACAGCAGCTATCGAGACACGTATTTTTATAATAACAGTGTGTATTATTGGTCGAGTGAACGCGATGGTTGAATTGGTATTACCTACTCACATTTCACTTAACCCCTCTTTCAACGAAACATTTATGAATAGATTATTTCTAAATCTAGTACACAAGAATTTTGACCTAATGAAATCAAATTATTAGTTTTCCTAAGCATACAACTGAGAAAGAAAATTCATGTTTCAAATGGTAGAGTCTAATATGCCAGATAAACCATGTCGCATACCGGTACGTTTACGGTCGTCGCTGGGTTAATGCAGTGTAATTGTCTTCTTTCTTAATTATATGGTGAGGTGTTCGCTCTA